GAACTACAATAAAATTGAACGTTGAACTTGTCTAAAATAGATAAATTGCAAACGTATATTATTTGAATTAATAATAAATAAAGTTATATTTTAATATTATTCGAATCCTGTGAAACGAAACTCATCGAACTTGACTTGTACGACAAGCATACGTTGAACTTGAAATACATACATCGAACTTGTATACATTAAACTACAATAAAATTGAACGTTGAACTTGTCTAAAATAGATAAGTTGCAAATGTATATTATTCGAATTAATAATAAATAAAGTTATATTTTAATATTATTCGAATCCCGTGGAACGAAACTGGAATTGTATAAAATGTGTATATTGAACATGTACACTGAGCCACAAATGTACCACAAATGTAATATTCATTGAAACATTTTTACATTCAAGTATTGTACTGTACATATTGTATTTAATCTCATCTCTAATTGTAAACGAAACGTTTCAACAAATTCATATGCGTTGAGTGTACATTTAAAACATGTATCATCAACGAAAATTTCTTCGTGTTTCAGCAAGGCCACGTCGTTACTCACAATTTTCGCAGATTCGGCGTATCATCGAACAACTCGGGGTGCAGAATCCTCAGATGATTGGAGTGGAGGAAAAGAGAGGTCAAATTCGACAAACCGTGAAACGTGCCACGTGACAGGCTCTCTATGCCATTCGCGTACAACACGAGTCTCTCCAAACCGGTGGAATTCGTGAACAGTCCTGGCGTTAAGTTTCGTATACGATTGTGCCCCAATTGAAGTTCTTTCAACGCCACCAAGCCTTGAAAGGCCGATGATTCGATCTACGACGAACAAAGAAGACGCGAGTTCGTATGATTGGACGAAAAGAAAGTAGGGATCGGTTCAACTCTCGTGACTCGAAACTCTCGGAAGTCGAACTGTTGTTCCAGTAACTGGAATTAACACTTCTATATAAATTTTCATTGGCCGCAATTAAACAAACAAAAACTTTTGTATCAAAAGTATCAAATACAGACTCTTGTTTAAGAACATTGACGTTCGAACTTTCTCTAATCTTTCGTTTCCTTTCGTTTGTATCCTCGAGCTTCTTCACCTCTTTACTCACAAGTGATCCTTCGAGAGTTTCGAATGACGAATGAACTTTTTCTAAAAGACGAAGACAGCTCAACGAACAAAATTCGCTAGTTACACTCGATATTTACTCTGGCTATCTTGTTGTTGGACAACTCGAGGGAGCGTAGATGTTCGAGCGGCGACAACAAACTCGCCGATATTTCTGTCAGTTGATTGCCCCTTGCGTTTAACTCGCGAAGCGACGATTGCGCGCGGAACAGCTGGTCCGGTAGTTCTTTCAGTCGGTTCTCCTCCAAACCGAGATACTTTATGTTGGTCAGGTCCTTGAACAGGTCCACAGGAAGGATCGAGAGCCGATTCTTTCCCAACAGGAGCTCCTCCAACGAAGACAGTCCGCGAAACGTTTCTGACGCGAAGCTTGAAAGTCGATTGCAAGACAGATCGAGTAGGACCAGCGAGGTGGTGCTCAAGAAAAGACTTTCTGGCAGAGTTCGCAACCTGTTGGAGGACGCGTCTCTGCGTCGTGTCGGGCAGTGACTGCCGATTAATAGTCGTAAAATCGTACATCCGGGCACATTTTAAGACTTGAAGACTCTGCCTCTCGTTCATTTCATTCTGTAATGTTTTCACGTCACGTGACAGCCGGATGAGTGAAGACACTTTTCTTCTCGAAAGTGCTATAAATTTCATGGCATGGAAAGACATTGAACAATTTTTTTTTCTTATGACTGAATCCGCAACGGATTTGAAGATCGAAGCCTCGTTTTTCGTTTTCAACGACCCTCGAGAGAACTCGACGCGAGAACTTTATTGAACTTTGACTATTATCAAGAAATCTATAACTTCGTAAGAAAACGGAAATAATAATACTTTCGTTGTTACGTTCGTCCTCGCTTGATAGTTGAAGCTCAATAAATTGGCAGAAAAAGAAAATCATACAGCAAGTTTCGAGATATTGTTGCTTCGATCTTCAAATGCATCGTAGTTTCAGCCGTAAACAAAATTTTTCAATATTGCTTTTACATATCGTGGCAATTCATAACATTTTCAGAGAAGAAAAACGTTTTCACTTTGCCGTTTTCATTTGCTGCATAATATAAAAACATCTTAGATTGAGATGAGTGATGCACTATGAAAGTAGAGGCTTCGAGCTTTGAAATGAGCCAAAGTTGTACGAAATTGTATTTCTTTCTTACGAAATCGAGACAGTTTCGATATTTAGTGTTCGAGTATATAATAGATATTTTTACAAATGAAAATTTCGTGTGAATTTCAGTTATTATTTATTATTCGGGAACAAATATTTGTTCGTTTGATATGATCCATTATTATCTGTCTTTCGTTTATTATCGCTTATCGTCCCCCCGTTTTGACAAAATTCAAATTTAAACGAGCATTCGTCCGCATGATGACGGAGAATGTTCGTCCAAATAATTAGAAATTACTTCAACTTCTTCTGGTTGATACCGAGTTCGCACAGCCAATTTTGGCACAGTCAACTTAACGCTGCAATAACTACTATTTTTGGTTATTAAT